CCGCCCAAATAGTAGGCTAACGTTACGTTTTGAGTGGATGACGAGCGCGAGACGCCGAAATGGATGCCAATAAGATTCTGAATGGAAAGTTTACTTTTAAAAAGTTGCCAAATGGTCCCATTGACGAGACCAAAGTGATCTGTGTGTTTTGCCGTTGTGAACTGAGCCATCATCATCGCAGCACGTCCAGTCTGAAATACCACTTGATGATGGCCAAGCACACACACACACACACACACACACACACACACACACACACACACACACACACACACACACACACACACACACACACACACACACACACACACACACAGCTGATGCGAAGCTCCGCCCCCTCGTCAATATCAGGACCTCGTCAGTATTTCTTTCACCCTTTTATTGATGGACAGTGTTACATTGAGAGATTATTTGCTCCAAGTGAGAATGTTAGTGTGAAATTGAACACAGTATATGCCAGTGTTGTTTTCAATAAAAAACATTTGCACAAAGCAAGCCGATCCACTTTTCCATGTTGATAAGAGCATTAAAATGAGAAAAAATAATGGGACAAAAAGAAATCAAGAGACATTTAGAATAGATTAAAATGAGCAATTAATCGCGAGTTAACTATGACATTAATGCGATTAATCGCGATTAAATATTTTAATTGTTTGACAGCACTAATATACACTCACCTAAAGGATTATTAGGAACACCATACTAATACTGTGTTTGACCCCCTTTCCCCTTCAGAACTGCCTTAATTCTACATGGCATTGATTCAACAAAGTGCTGAAAGCATTCTTTAGAAATGTTGGCCCATATTGATAGGATAGCATCTTGCAGTTGATGGAGATTTGTGGGATGCACATCCAGGGCACGAAGCTCCCGTTCCACCACATCCCAAAGATGCTCTATTGGGTTGAGATCTGGTGACTGTGGGGGCCATTTTAGTACAGTGAACTCATTGTCATGTTCAAGAAACCAATTTGAAATGATTCGAGCTTTGTGACATGGTGCATTATCCTGCTGGAAGTAGCCATCAGAGGATGGGTACATGGTGGCCATAAAGGGATGTACATGGTCAGAAACAATGCTCAGGTTGGCCGTGGCATTTAAACGATGCCCAATTGGCACTAAGGGGCCTAAAGTGTGCCAAGAAAACATCCCCCACACCATTACACCACCACCACCAGCCTGCACAGTGGTAACAAGGCATGATGGATCCATGTTCTCATTCTGTTTACGCCAAATTCTGACTGAATGTCTCAACAGAAATCGAGACTCATCAGACCAGGCAACATTTTTCCAGTCTTCAACTGTCCAATTTTGGTGAGCTCTTGCAAATTGTAGCCTCTTTTTCCTATTTGTAGTGGAGATGAGTGGTACCCGGTGGGGTCTTCTGCTGTTGTAGCCCATCCGCCTCAAGGTTGTGCGTGTTGTGGCTTCACAAATGCTTTGCTGCATACCTCGGTTGTAACGAGTGGTTATTTCAGTCAAAGTTGCTCTTCTATCAGCTTGAATCAGTCGGCCCATTCTCCTCTGACCTCTAGCATCAACAAGGCATTTTCGCCCACAGGACTGCCGCATACTGGATGTTTTTCCCTTTTCACACCATTCTTTGTAAACCCTAGAAATGGTTGTGCGTGAAAATCCCAGTAACTGAGCTGATTGTGAAATACTCAGACCGGCCCGTCTGGCACCAACAACCATGCCACGCTCAAAATTGCTTAAATCACCTTTCTTTCCCATTCTGACATTCAGTTTGGAGTTCAGGAGATTGACTTGACCAGGACCACACCCCTAAATGCTTTGAAGCAACTGCCATGTGATTGGTTGACTAGATAATTGCATTAATGAGAAATTGAACTCGTGTTCCTAATAATCCTTTAGGTGAGTGTATATATCATTTTTTCCCCCCTGTAATCCAGCTTTCAAAACCTATGTTCCCTTAGGCTGAGTCCACTAAAGCATGTGTGAATCCTGAGCGTATATATGACAAATATCTTGTAAAATGTGTGGTCAGTACTGCCTTTAATTTAGTTTAATTTATTAATAATAATTGAATTTATTTTTTAATTTATTTTTTTATTCTAGTTTATTTATTTATTTTATTTAAATAAAATTGTATCCTCTTTTATTCTATTTATAAATTATTTTACTCCATTCTATTCTATGTTTGGGGGAAATAACAGTTCTGGAAATGTGATTATCCAAGTCATTTCGGACCTACCTCGTGAATGACAGACATGTATTTGGGATCTTCCACTATGAGAACTGTAGATTCTGGTTGTAAGTCTTTTTAACTCTCAGAAATTGCTTCCAAGCACAGGCTCTCCACGAGGGTCAGGCTTTGAAGATGAATGGATGGTGTGTTGTATTGATTTTTTTCCACCCCATATTGGCTCCGTAATCCTGGCTAAGCATTAGGAGATTTAAGCACAGACCTATGTCAAAGGTTTCTGAACTAGGATCTTGTTAACCAGGTCTTTCCTTTGGGCCCCACTGACCTTTCAGCGCTGGTCCAATGAACACGATGCACAAGTTTATCAGTGTATCTCTCAGCTTTTTTTATTTGAAACCTTTGAGGGTTTAACATAAGACGTTTTTTATTGTTGTTGTTAGGATTTAAATAAGGTTGCGCTGGTGCTGGTGGTCACAACTGAAAATCTATTATTGCGTTAGATGCCAGGCGTCCCGGACTCGGGGATCGATACTGCTTTGTCGACAGATTCGAGCCCCTGCTGTGCTCGGCTGAAGATGAATTAGATTTTTCTATAAAAACGCGGAGCTTCGTCATTCGCCATTGAGCTTATCGCAGCCATGTGGGATGCTTTACTCTTCACCTGTGCTATTTCATCCACTGTTATTACTGCGGCCCCACTCGCATTTTCCCATTCTCCATCTGTCCTCATCTGTTATCTATAGGGCACATTTCCAATTCCAAATGGTTATGATGTGTATTAAAGTTTACGGATTAAAGATTAAGCTTTATTTTGTCCCAAATCCACCTGCATACCATGATCATCACATTTCCAGGAATCCCTTCATCCTTTATCATTTATACTCCAGACCATGCTTTCCAATGGACTATTATTCAGACTCAGCACACTTCCAGTCAAATGTCTGGATACTAACTCTTTATTTATTACTGCTATTTGTCATGTTAAATAATAAATAAACAAATAACCTAAAACTATAATGAATTTGATTAATGTACATGTGTATATCTGGCTGTTTCCTTGCAGTAATTTAAAATCTTTCAGTGTGTTTTGCGAAGGGCAAACATCCTATTTTATGTACCGCTTTGTCACTGATATTTACATCCCTGCATTGCGGTGCCAAACTTGTGCAGTGTAAAACGATGCATTGTTAGAGGATGCTTAGCAATAGCAACAGACAGACAATAATAATCAATGCTTTGAACAGTCACGGAAATGCATGTAATTGTATATAAACGGTTATTTCAGTCTTTGAGGGGAAACATGTCAAATGGTGACAGAAAACACTGGAGTGAAGAAGAGACGGTTTCATTCTTACAGTATAAACTTAATATAGTACAGTCTGCGGTTACATAAAATGAGGTTGTGCAATGCCAGAGCGTTTTGATGAAGGTAAGGGAATAAAGCTGTGTTGCTTAGCACTATTCAGACAGGATTTATTTCTAAATGACATTTGAGTTACAATTATTAAAGTAAGACATCTGCCATCAGTATTGTCGCTTAAAATATAATTTTATTCATGGATCAAATTTAGCTTCATATCGGTTCTTTCGCATCGGGTAGTTATAGGAACTCAGTAGAGATCAACCGATAATCGGTTTTACCGATATATTTACCGATATTTAAGCATTTTCCCATAATCGGTATCAAATTAGACTTGGATGACTAACTTTTCTTAGCAGTTTATGCAACTAAGTATGGCTGATTACATAAAATGAGGTTGTGCAATGCAATGCCAGAGTGTTTATGTAATCAGCAATACTTAGTTGCATAAACTGCTAAGAAAAGTTAGTCATCCAACAAGTCTAATTTGATACCGAACAGTAAGACTGATTACCCCTAACTAACTGCTAGTTGATCATACTAGTTCTTAAAGCGCAGTTTTAACATAATGCCTAAGTTTATGCAACTGGCCCCTGGTCGCATTCTATGTTTGTCCAATCACTGACACTGCAAATATGCAAATATGAAGTTTAACCCTGGGTTTAGGAATGTTCAAATATAAATAAAACAAACACAAACACAATGTTTAACGTCAGCATATGAATAAATACCGAGAAGTATGACAAGTTTGAAATGTGATTCCGTTAACCAGGGTTAACTAACTAGTTTCTGGAGAAAACATCACGGTTTTCTCCAGAGCGGCTATATATATATATAAATGAACTAAATTAATAGATTTTTTACAACAAAAATGAACCATCACTGAACTTACTTAAGCAGGACTATTTTCTTTTGGAAACAAACTTTGTTGCATTATTTTCCTGTTATCTCTGTAAAGCTGCTTTGATACAATCTGTATTGTAAAAAGCGCTGTATAAATGAAGGTGACTTGACTTGACTAGCCTCAAGAAGTGTGAGTGTTAGTGGATGAATTTAATAAATTTTAAGGCCAGACAAGTAGTTTGTTGAGGGTTGTTTTTTTAGGGAAGGACTACATGCCCTCACACATATATTCAACCTATAGAATGAACTCTTAATACGCATGTGCACGCCATCAGCTTCTCACAGGTTCGCGTTTTTAAAGTTTGCGTAGAGAGAACTTAAGAGTTTTCTGTAAAACGGTGTCGTGTTAGCGGCCCCTAAGTTAATAACTAATGATCGTTGCGACGGAAGTGAATCAATCAAAACTAAAACTTTATTCTAGAGCTGTCATAAAGCCAAAACAATCTATACTTTAATTTCCTATTATCACTGTAAAACTGCTTTGGAATAATCTACATTGTTAAAAGCGCTATATAAATGACATGAGGATGACTTGACTTGATGTTCAAGCATGTGTATGTTGTGTTCCAGGTGGTGATGAAGATCATCAAGCATTACCAGGAGGAAGGCCAGGGCAGTGAGGTGGTGCAGGGGGTGTTGCTGGGGCTGGTGGTGGAGGACCGGCTCGAGATCACAAACTGCTTCCCTTTCCCTCAACACACAGAGGACGATGCGGACTTTGATGAAGGTAAGGGAATAAAGCTGTGCTGCTTAGCACTATTCAGACAGGATTTATTTCTAAATGAGTTACAATTATTAAAGTAAACAATCTGCCATCAGTATTGTCGTTTAAAATATAATTTTATTCATAGATCAAATTTAGCTTTATATCGGTTCTTTCGCACTGGGTTGTTATAGGAACTCAGTAGAGATCGACCGATAATCGGACCGATTATCGGTCAATTACCGATATTTCCCCCGATATTTAAGCATTTTCCCATAATCGGATTCACCTGTAAATGGCGCTACAGAAATAAAACATTGAATAAATATCGGTTCTGTATATCGGTTAGCGGGCACATAAACGCAAATAATTGGTTTCTGTAATAAAAAATCAATATCGGTCGATCTCTAGTACTCAGTTATACGAACTAACCACCAGGGCGGTCCCCTGAGAGCTTAATTTTTATATATCGTCAAAGGAGACTCATATATCGTATGATATATCATATCGCCCACCAATAATCATGTTAAATTATCGTGATTGATATAATATTGACCAAAAATAATCAAAAATAAAATTATTATGATTTTTGCCATAACGAGCAGCCCTGATGTAAACTGTGTGTGTACATTGCTTTTTAAAAATGGCGGGTGCTGGTGTTTCACAAATGCGGTCGCAAATGTAGCCTAAATTGTGCTAGGTTGAGCTAATTTAGTTCCTCCAAAAGGTGTTCCTATAACTAAAATCAGTCGTAGTTCCTGCGGTGCGAACACGGCTAAAAGCGGGCACTTCCGCCAATAGTTATAGTGACTATGAAAATGTTTCTCCTGTGCGAAAGCTCCTATTGTATCATAGAAATACCCATCAGAACTGATGCGACTCAGTTGACTTTCTCAGAAATGCAATGAATATATTTTGGGCTTCCTGAAGAAATTTTGAAATAATCATTATAAGCAGCTTTTGGGGAGAAAGCCAATGATTTAGTGACAGTGTTGAGATGTGGTACATTAGGTACTGATAGAGTGCAGACACACAAATAAGAGATAGTGATCCTGTTATTCCAGTTCAATGTAGATCGTTCTGCCTTAAATTGTGTCTGATAAGACTGTCAACAACTTTCTGATTTTATAAGCAGCCATTTGGTTAGAAACACCTTTTGCACTTCTCGTTCTTTTTCTTTCAGTATTGCCTAAACACACAGACACTAGGTAGATGAAAAACTAGATGTATAAACCATCATAACAAGATCTGAACCCCGAACAGTTGTGTTTGTAGCCCCGTATTTTTATCTGCTAATCTGCCATTGCATTATTGTCCAATTAGCCACAGTGTTCGAATGTGGGCCATTTGTATCTGACTGCAGATTTTCAATTATTGCTTAAGGGTCTGTCATATACAAATGGAAGATGGTGCTGTTATTCAAATTGGTGTTTAACCAACTATAAAAGTATGATATATTGTTCTATTTATTGTTGTTTAATGCAGTTTTGCACACAAGATCGAAATTAAGCGGCATTTATTTCAGTGACACCAGGGAAATTTCACTTTTATCTCTCGTCCTTGCGTTTCGTCACACATTAAACTCCTCTACAAGTGTAAGCTTTTGTGTTTTATCACACCACTGTGTCTGGTGATCACTAAGGCAGAAAAACGTCACCGTCGATCGTCGCACTAGTAAACGGCAGAGTAAATTGCTGTGTAATTCAACAGAAACCTGTATCAGAGTAAAGGTTTGGGGCTCAGCTTTTATAGGGTTTCTCCAGAGAGGCCTGGTTTCGGCACAGAGCGAGAGTTGTTTATTGGGTTTTACGGCCTGCGAGATCACAGGTGTTCGCCAGTGAGATGTGTCGTGCGTCATGCGAGGGAGAATGAAGCAGGTTTGGATTATTAAAAGTGTAATGGGCTGTAGAGGCTCTGAAATGGAGGCCAAAATTGACTAAGGTGTTGCTTTGTGGGACACCAAAATAGGGCTGGGTGAAAGGACCATAAATACCGCAATGGCAGAAAAAGATTCTGTTCATGCTGTGAGATATCCATGTCGTAATATAAATATAAAAAAATCCGACACAAAGCAAAAAATTATAGACAAAACCGTGCCACTTATAATTCATCTCTCATGATGAATCTTGCCCTTTTGGTTTGTCAATGAAGTTTAAAATTTGAAAGTATGTTAGTCACTAGAATAAAAATGTGCAATACTAGATAACAATGTGATATATTTATTATTTTCAGTCAATTGTATATAAAAGACATTATGTAATATTTAATATTATAAATAATAAGAATAATATATTAATAAAACAGTACATGCATAAAAATGTATTAGGCCTAAGTACTGTTTAATTCTGTTTGTATTTTATTATTATTTATTTCTGTTAAAACTTTGTTTAATTTTGAGCATATGATATTATAAATAATAATATATTAATAATACAGTGTATATTTATATATTAGTGCTGGGAATCTTTTGGTACCGATTTGGTAACGATTCTTGAGATCACGATTTGATTCAAAATCAAATTTCGGTCCGATATGGGCATTTTGATTGTAGTTGACAGTTTTGTGTTACTTTTCTTATTTGACTGCGGTAGGCAGTTTAATAGGTCTAGAAGAAAAGAAAATCCTACTGAATTAAATGTGAACCTTGAAATTTATTTAGTTTTTCTTCCCATTTTAGTCAACCCAATATTGTAAAGCAAATGCCCTTTAAGCTGACTACAATCATACACACAGTCTTCTGTATTAAAGCAAGGCAGGCAATTCTTTTAATTTTTTTTAATATTAAAAATAGGAACAAAGCAGCAAATTACAAACAATAGGACAAATATAATAGAAAAATATACAAATTATATCAAATTGAAGTTTTTCAGGTATGGTAGCATAGGTTTATTAAACAGAAATACTAAGAAATAAGAAATACTACCGAAATTGAATAATCAAATAAAAAAATAAAACATTGTATATAGTCTTCACTGTATGAATTAAATATAAATTGATTATAATAAGGATAAAAAAGTGTTTCAGTCAAAAGCAGTGAGTGTTTTTTTATTAACATTAATAGGCTTTATGCCGAGCGTCACGTGACCAAGCCGGAAAACAGAGCACATTGCTTCCGCTTCAGGTCTTTTGTATGTGCTTCATGACATTTTGTGCAGTTTTACTCAAGATAACTTAAAAGGAGCAAGCAAAAATGAGCATAACCAATGTCCATCGCATGTGCAGATTGATATTTAAAAGTTTTTTAATTGTTCTTCTTCACACTAACGTTTAGATATTTAAATAGCATAAAACACCAATAACAAAGTGAACTTAGTAGGTTAACTGATTACCTTAAAAATCCATAGATATCGTAGTTAGTTCTTACGGCCGTTAACACTTTCTCTGACAAGCGGATGCAATGAGACCCGGTTTCCGGTTTGGTCACGTGACGCTCGGCATAAAGCCTATTAAAAGGGATGGCAACAGTTTATGAGGCTGCTGTCCCTTTAAGAGTGAAAGCATGGAAATAGTTGCACATCCGATTGTTTTTGTTCGCGTAGGACATAACAGAATCTGTTTATATTGAATACTCCACAGTCCACACGATGTGCATTTTGACAAAATTTACTCTTCGCAGGGAGTTTGATTGACAGGCAATCTGACCAATCAAAATCCGCCATCTGCCGAATCCGACATTTATGTCCGACAAAGCAGTCAGGAGAGTTAGTAGATTAACGTTGGTTGAAAAACGGTGTACTGACGTCTTTCCGCAGTTAAAACAACATTCCTTCTGATGTTCATTCATGTTAATTTGATGCTATAAATGAACTAGAAGGAAGAGATGATCGGTTCACGAGCAGCTTTAACTGAGACTCTACAGCGATCTGTCACGACACATTAATGAGCCACAAAACGGTATTTACTGTTTAAATTTCTTTAAAAAATGACCAAATTTTAAAGTTGAGACTTAGTTTCATATCAAAAGTAACCTGGTCTGTCCTGTCTGTCGGAGTGTTGTCGGTGTCCTCTTTGCTCCGCGATGTATTTGTCACTGCGCGAGAACATGGAGTGGCATGAGAGCGGCGTGGCTTGTCGGACATAGCAACAGTAACTAATAGCAACAGTAACTAATAGCAACAGTAACTAATAGCAACAGAACTGAATTCGCGATCACATGCATGTGTATCAGCGCGAGCACCTCATTGAGTCCTTGTTCGTATGGGATTATTTTTGTGCCATTAATAATGAACGTAACTTTTCAAGAAACGAATGAAAATATAAATGGACACTGAAAAAAGTGTCTTTGAAACCGGGGAAAAATTAATCGCAGGCAAAAATTTTTACTTTGTTTTTAATACACTGCATGTATTACTGTTTTTTCGCTGATCTGTACTTACAAATGCACTTCCAGAGTTTTCATTTACGCTTCTGAGTTTTCATTCTCCATTCTGGCACATAACTCTTATGGGGCGGGGCTAACAGCGGTGTGTTCTCATTGGCTACTGAGTTTTTGATTGACAGATTCTTGACCTGGAAGTGAAGACTTCAGTGTTGTGTTTACATGTGAGCGTCTGTAAGCGGCTTCCTATTTAATTTTAATGATATAAAGTTAGGAGTTTTGTTTTTTAATTTTAACTGTATTTATCTACTGCTACACTACATTGTTGAGATGAGTTCCTAGGAATAGCACAGACGAATAATATCATCATTATCATCAATCATCGTTATTGATGCTGTAGACTCGCGGTAAGTCAGTATTTTTTTTTTAAAGAGATATTTTAGAGCTTATTGAGAGCCCACAACATTACACAGCAGTGTTGTCTTTATTTAGCCCGATCATTACACAACCTTATCTGCATACAATTACAATACACACAGTCTTTATTACGATTACATCATGTTTGCTTTTTCATAGGTGCAAAACATATGCGTTAGAAGGAAAAACATGAACCCCTTTAAATCAGCAACTGACTTTAATGTCTTACGATGCATTTATCAGGAAGAGTTGAGTTCGTGCTAATTCTAAATGAGAAGTATTAAGCCTC